CTAAAACCCATTAAATGGGAGAGAGATAGCCTCTTTAACAAATGGTGCTGGCAAAATTGGATATACACTTGTAGAAAATGAAACAAGACCCATACTTCACCCCATACACAAAAGCAAACTCAAGTTGGGTCAAAGATTTAAATGTAAAACCTAAAACTATAAAGCTCATTAAAGATTAAGTAGGGGCAAATCTAAGACCCTGTAATTTATAGCTTAAATGGACTATCAAGCATAACCCAAAATGCACAGGCAATGGAAGAGAAGCCAGATGACTGAGGGGCAGCATTCATATGGAGGGAAAGATGGACAGACAGGAGTGCATAACTAAGAAGGACATGGGGGGGGGTTATAGGGAAGGGAGGGCAGGAGAGTGGATTAGAGTTGGGGTTGGGAATCAGGACATGAAATCAAATGTACATGAACTGTTGAATGTAAAACAAATTTTGCTCTGTAAATTTGCACCCAAAGCACAATAAAAATAAACAAAAATATGCATTTAGTATCTACTATATGCTGAACGGGAGCTCTGGTAGGATAGTGCCTAAGGGATTTAACTGCTAACCAGAAGGTTGGTGGTTCAAATCTACCAGCCACTCCTCTAAAGGAAGAAAGTTGGGCAATCTACTTCTGTAGTGATACTGCCTCAGAAACCCAAGGAGGGGTTGCTATGAGTTGGGGCTGACTCGACGGCACATAACAAAAACAACATATGCTGAACCTGTACTTGCATATGCTATGGTAAGTCAAAGGGAACACATCTTTCCTTTCCATATGAAGTTAATAATTGTTTTTTCCATATCTTTAAAAAATGTTGATTTTATCTGTACTAGGTGTAAATTCTTTATTTATCTGACTTCTTCTTGTTAGCTGCCATGGAATGAAACATTGCCTGGTCCTACACCATCCCCATTATCAGTTGAAAATAAGACTTTTGTGATCTGTAGGGTTTAAACTGACTAATTTTTGGAAGTCGATCATCAGGCCTTTCTTCTTCAATCTCTTAGTCTGGAAGCCTTGCTGAAACTTTTTCAACATCACAGGAACATGCAAGCTTCTACTGACAGATGGGTGGTAGTCAGGCATGAGGTGCATTGTCTGGGAATCAAACCAGGATCTCCTGAATGGAAGGAATGAATTCTACCACTGAACCACCAATGCCCTCAAGTTATCCTTACCTGTTTCCTCTTTAGTTCCTCACATCACATCTGAACCTTTTATAAGAATGTTTCCCAAGATTCTTCCCTTGACTCTCTTTACCTCTCTCTGCATTTTCTCCTTCAGAAGTTCCATTCACTTCTGTAACTGTACATCTGCATTTTTAGCAAGAGGCCCACATATCCACTTGCATATGCTATGGTAAGTCAAAGGGAACACATCTGAGACCTGTTCCCTTTCAGACTACTGACCTCAATCATTGATCTCATAATGCTTATACTGTCCAAAGTTTGATTCCTAAATATATTCTTTCCCCCTTCTCCTTTGTAGCACTTCTAGTCAGTTTTTAAATACTTTTTTCTAAAATATATTTCACTCTCCAACCTCACAGACACAGGCCTTGCTCCTTCCTCACTCCTCAAACATAGATTACTGCAACAGCCCAATTTATTTCTGTTCTTTCTAATCCATCCTGAACATTGTCACAGATCAACTTTAAAAAATGCTGTGATAATTCTGTCATGTGGCTGCTCAAAAACCTTCTGTTTCCCCCTGCACTTTTCAAAAAAAAAAAAAAAATTGTTCTATTTATCTTTTTATTTGGCATTTCTAAATTGACATTTTTGCTTTTTTATAAAACTGCTAGGTGAGTACAGAACACCGAGGAAAGGGAAAATTAACTTTCATTTCTTCAATTCAAATTGTTTTTCAATAAGAACTGACAAAGGGAAAATTTGAGTCAGAGTCAAATTCTCTTTTTCTAAATTGCTACTAGACACAAGGCGAAATGGCCCAATGGTAGTGCTATTAATCATGGAAATGGTATCCACGTGGGGAAACAGGCTCTGCAGCCTCTCTTGAGATCTGTAAAGCAGGAGAGGCAAAAATCATGAGTCCAGGCTCACAGTTCTGCGCCCTCTTTGGCAAGATGGCTGGTCCTGTCTCTGCAGCTTACTTAGGCTGCTCATCTGCCATTCAGTGCTTTTCTGTGCTTATCCGGTAATGATAAGGCCCCTTTTGTCACATTCACTGTGCCACATGTAATTAAGTTCACACCTCCTTTCAGACAATTCGACAGCAGCAGATGACCAGCTGGATACCAGCCAGCTGGAAACACCCAGTTTGGGATGAAATAAAGGAATAAGCGAGAAGGACAATTGAGAAATATGACCAGATGTTTCCTATAAATGCCTTGAAGTAATGTTCACTTCTCCTGGTGTCCTCAAAGTATCTTTTCCCAAAGAAGTTCTATCCCGTATCATTTGATGATAGACAGGCACCTCAATGATCAGTAGAAGCTGTATTCAAGAAAGTACTACAAATAACTAGAGGGTAGACTCTTATTAACTTGAGTGAACAGAAAGACAATATATAATAAGGGAGAGGTCACCACAAAACTATCAAGGCAAAGGAAAACACCAGGAGGAGCACACGAGTTAAAGGCAACAGAGTTAATACTACCACACACACACACACACACACACACAATTAAGCACTGCAATAAGAAGACAGAGGCTAGGTTTGTAGTAGTATTAAGAAGATGCTATGTCATGCTAGAAAGAAGAGGAGCTTCCAGAACAAATGAGCATGGGTTTGAATTCTGCCCTCAGTTATTAACTGTGAAATTTTGGGTGTGTGACTTAGTTTCTCTGAGCCTTAGTTTCTTAATTTTTAAAGTGGAGCTCATCATAATTTGCAAAGTTGTGATGAGGTTTAAATGCAATAAAAAATGTGCTACCTAAATGGTAGCCACTCTTGGTATTATTGTAATATTCTGTAATATAGTCTTATCATTGTGCTTTTACAATAAAAACACATCTAATTCACAATATGCAATTAATGAAGACAAGATTTTTCCATTTATTTGAGATAGTTATTTTCTTGTGTTTGTTTTTGGTTTCATGGTTTCCCATGCATATTATCCTTTGAAATCATGAAGTTTTTCTAGCTTAATTTTTAAGAAGAGAACCTCTTTGATGTGCACTAAATTCCAGAGAATGAAGTCTTCATCATCTAACTTCAGGTGGTGGGTATATCAAGGAGTGATTTACAGTTTTCTTTTCTTTATAGTCAAAGGCAGAGGAACCTAAAAGCACAAGAGTCTAGCTTTATTTTTAACATTATTTATGTTTTTCTATTTCTTTCACCTAAAAGGTACAATTATGTGGGCTACGGTGGCATCTAAACTATGGGAAGGTAAACCATGTGAGGCAAGTGAGTGCACACATTTCAGATTCAACAGCCTTCTGCAGCAGCCCCTTTAAGGCTTGATCTTCATTCAGTGTAAAGATAATCGTAATCAGACAGAAACTAAGAGACCATAAGCATCTAACTGCATCTCAGTATAAAGCACCAGTCAGCATGAGCCAATACCTATTTTTGTTTAAACAAAATGTCCATGTTGGCAAAGGCCTTGAGGAATAGATGTACTTAATGCTAACCTTGACTCTGTACAAGAGGAAAAAATGAAATAAAGGGATCTCAGAGTTTGCTAATCTTTATTTCCCTTGCTGTAAAAAGGAGGGAGCTTTGATGGTCTGTGAATGTTGCTTTGCATGGAGAATGAAAAAATGAATATTTGATGTGAGTAAATACAAGCCTTTTAGTGATTTTCTGTTGCTCCAATTTAAAGCAGGAATAAAGCTCAAGGAATTTTCTTATTTTCTGAGACAGGCTAGTGTTTGTGTAGGTGGAAAGTACACCACCTGAGGAAAAAAATGTTCTGGGTCATACAGATTATAAATACCAATATTTCCACCTACCAGCATAATAAAAGAGCTTTTCTGCAACTGAAGAGCAAAACTAAAAATGGATGTTTTCCTGAGGATCAGAGAGAGGGAGAGAAAAGATAGAATGCATTATAATGATAACCTAGTTCTACATTTGTCACTCATGCTTTGTATTCAGAGCTCAGTACCCAGGAGCCCTTGGTGTCTTTTCCCTTGGGAAAAACAATGATAATTGCATTCTAAGGATCTCCCTTTCCACAGTATCTTTTATTTTAAGATCTCAGTGTACTTCAGAAACATTAATCAGTCAGGCCTCTAAAGCTCTATTTAAAACATGTATGCTGCACGGGGACTAATTGAAGCCATGTATTATTTGTTAGAGGCAAAACTGAAAATGGAACTTAGGACTTGAAACCAAGTCTTGTTAATTTTATTTTTAAAAAAAAAATAATTTCATGATAGGATTATGACACACTCAAAATAGAGTCTTTCAATGATGTCTAGTTTTAATCAACCCTATACCTATTTTGAAACAGTCAAAAATGGTACCTTTAAGTGCTAAAGAGAAGAAGAGCCCTGGCTGTGAAGTGGTTAAGTGCTCAGCTGCTAACCAAAAGGTTGGCAGAAGAAAGACGTTGATAACAGTTAGTAGATAGCCACAAAAGGAAGAATTTTGGGGTAACAGTAAAGTGCTAGTCTAAGTTAGGGCCAGCTGTAAGAGTCTACTTCTCTGTGACCTTGAGGCCTATAAAGGGAGCACACTGGATTCCTTAGTCAAGCCACATAAAACTGATGTCCTTCCATGTGTCTGCCCACATGTCTCTCTGGAGAATCTATTGATCACATTTTCAGCCATTTTTTTTCAACTATTATGGCCACATATCTATTTGAGAAAGATCTCTGGCCTTCTGCCCATATTCAAGATCTGCAAAGGTACCTGGAGTATCAAAGGCAAAGAGAAGTAGAAGTTGACCTTTTACAGGTCCAGGGAGAAAATGTATAGCTGAAGCAGGGCACTCGTGTTAAAAATATGTTGGTTTTATTCTTTCAATGTACAATTTTTTCCTTCAAGTTACACATTGGTAAAGTCGCATACACCAGAAAAAGTATATTTACCTCATATTTTCTTTTCTGTGTACTGTCACATACATTTCATAGACTCTCCCTTGGGGAATGGCCCCAGCAGGAATCAGCAAGCTTACTCCTGAATAAAAAAAAGAGAAAGAGCAGTCACATAAGACCTATGAATCAAAAAGAAAACTTTCTTTGAATGCCTATGCAGCGAGGAAAAGGGCAGGAGGAGATTTTGTGACCATCTGGCCATAAGCCTATTTCTTTTTCTCTAAAGACATGTAAATATTCATAGTTGCCCTGCTTTTCCTCTTATTGGTCTTGCTTGTTACCACAGTTCCCTCTGAACTGTTATGGAACCACTGAAAGAAATGATGTAATTGTTTAGGCTCTTGTTTTATTTAAAGAATAGACAGATGGTTTCACTGTTGTTTTCCTTGTAAAACAAGGTTAAAACCAACAACTGCTCTTAAAATTTCAAACAGCTGTAATGATGCATCTTTCTAATATAAAAAAGAAACTATCCCCACAAGATTCTAAGTCAGGGAAATGCTAACATTAACAATATCAAAAAACATCTATTTCTGAAATATCTGGTTTCCATCAGTGTTTATTCCATTACAGAATAATAATTGATGAAGGAAACTGTTTCATCATAATAACTCTGGAAAGTGAACAATAACTCCTAGCTTTAGTCACAGTAGGTCAAATGGTTTCCACTTAATTGCTCATTGGAATGAGTTCTTAGGACTGTGGAATTGAGCTGTGTTCTAAACTAACTGTGCCTGTAACAGCAGTTCTCAAACTTGAGTTCGCACCAGAATTACCTTCAGGACTTGTTAAAGCACAGATTATCGAACACTACCTCCACAGTTTCTGATTCAGAAACCTGGGAGTGGAGCCAGAGAATTTTAGTTCTAACAAGTTGCCAGCCTATGCCAATGATGGTGGTCTGGTGATCACACTGTTAAGAACCATCAGCCTACACTACTGCTATATCATCAGGCAGAGTGACTCAGGGTGGGGGCCACTCTGAAAATGTTTGGCTCTATCATTTTACTCCAATTAAATTCAGATAAATTTAGAGCAATAATAATTTACAGAGCACCATTTGTGAGCCTAGTACAGTGTTTGGCATTGTTGTCAAATGCAAGAAATACAAGATAGTGTTCTTGATTTTGAGCAGCTTATGATTTAATTAGAAAGCAAACAGAACATGTCAAGTGAGCACTGGACAATAAAGAAACTTGCCTGACTACGCTGGAACGTCTTAAATATAAAGAAGAGAAAGTTAATGGGAAAGGAGCTATTCAAAGACTTTTGCATAACTGGATGAAAATGTTGAGCTATTGCACTGTTGAGAAGAAAAGTAATCTGAGAGCAGTGGTGTCCTGGGAAATGTAATGTAGCATTCACACACAGGTTGGTTTATGAAGGGAGAAGAAGGAAGAACACAAAAAGCAGTGAAGCCTCAGCATTTTTATTTTTTAAAATGGGGACAATAAAATGTACCTTTATGTTTGTTGTGAGAATTAAATAAACTTTTTGTTGTTGTTAAGTGCCATCGAGTTGGCCCCGACTCATAGCGACCCCTTTTTGGGTTTCTGAGGCAGTATCACTATGGAAATAGATTGCCCCATCTTCTTTCCGAGGAGTGGCTGGTGGGTTTGAACCACCAGCCTTCTGGTTAGCAGTCAAGCGCCTTAGGCACTATGCTCCCAGAGCTCCCAGATAAACTTATGTATGTAAAATAAGAATAAGGCCTGACACAAAGTAGGTACTATTTCTAGTCTGTTAAATAAGATAATGTGTGTAAACTACCATGTTTGTTCTTAGAAGGTATTCGAAACGTATTAGCTACCTCCCTTCCACTTAATCAGCCTTTACAATTCCAATATGAAAGAGTGGCAGGTGAAGAAATAAGAAAAGGTGGGTACTTTCGATAAATATGAAAAAACATTGTCTTGAGGACAACTACAACGTTAATATGATGCAAAACAATACAATATATTTTACTTCATCCATTTGATGGACTATTATAAAGATAAATAAAATCATGATTTTTAAAGAGTATGCAGTACTGTGAGAATTAATGAGAAAAAGATGACAAAACATTTTACATAAAGTATGATCTCAGCTATATAAAAACGTACAGGAAATGGGAAAATTATGTTCCATATATTTCAATTTCATTAAAAGATATTTTTAATTACGTGGAGTTAAAAATTGTCAAGGTTTTGAAATGTAGGGCTGAATAAAGGGAAAGAATCAAAGACCTGAGGAGCAATTGCTCTGTATATTAACAGATTCTGACTCTGCACATTAAATGGTTCTGATTCATGACCACCCTGTGTACGTCAGAGGAGAGCTGCACTCCAGAGAATTTTCAATGGCTGTGATCTTTTATTAGCAGATCGCCAGGGCTTTCTTCCAAGATGCCTTTAACTCACTGCCTTTGAATCAGATCCGACTCATAGCGACCTCTCCTTGGGTTTCTGAGGTGATATCTCTATAGAAGTAGATTGCCCAACCTTCCTTCCGAGGAGTGGTTGGTGGGTTTGAACTGCCAGCCTTCTGGTTAGCAGTCAAATACCTTAGGCACTATGCCACCAGAGCTCCCAAGATGCCTCTGGGAAGATTTCAACTATCAAACTTTTGATTAGTAGGCAAGCACTTGATGTGTTTATACCACCCAATGACTCTGGTCTATAATTACTGCGATGTATATACTTTTTTTTTTTTTTTCTTTCTTAACATTACATGAGGACTTTAGGTCAATTGAATTCATCCTTGTGACTGTACTTCCAGTTTAGTCCAAAAGAATTATGGTAAATTCCAGAGGAAGCCATTAACCCTCTTATGACTGGATAAATCCAAATCCATTACTATTATTGATTAATGAAATAGTAAACTTTGATCTCACTTTATCACTCACTACCTTAAGTTCATCATTTAAGACCTATATGAGGTTTATTCTCTAGATGCATATATAAAACTGAAGACTAAATAATACTATGGAAGAATGCAAAATGATGCTCTGACTTTAGATAGAGATATCAGAGGTGGGAGTGAGTGGCTAATTAATTCCTTGAAATTAAAGTTTGTATAATGAAGAGTTATGTTAATAAATGTAGCTTTGTTGTCTATTGCAATGCTCTCTGATCATCTAAAAGTTAGATTCCAAAGTATTGCTTCCTGTAGTAAACTGGAACTTGACCACTGGTATGTTTTCTAATTAATTTGTCCTTTTAAAGTATGATGACGGTAGTGACGCTTTCTGGTTTGATGTTGCCTTCCGGAGCTGTATGAAAAAGAAGGTCACTGACAGTTCTAAATTATACCTCAGCAGAAAGTTGAGTATAATATTTCTAAAGGAAGCATTTTAAAAATTGACTAGGGAAAGATAAATGGTTTTGCTAATTTTGTCTGAAATAATGTTTGGTTTATGCTGAAAGTATATTTCGGTTAGATAGCCTACATTTAACATTCCAGGCCTACTGAAAAGAACAAAAAAATTTTGATTCAAAAATATGTTTTCAAGCTGCATTTTTGCATTTCAAACCTTTAGGAATTACCTGAATTGGGAACGATAAGGTGACCCCCCAGGGAATTGAAGGTGCCAAATGCAGTACAGGATGGATCAGTCTGACGTGCTAGACTCTGATTCTTCAGGTTGAGGGCTTCATTCTCCAACAAGGATTGGGTCATCTGAGGGGACAGCTTGGATGTAAACTCAGACAAGTCATCCTGGGGGGTGACAGCCCCTGAGGTGTTGTACACTTTGATTTTCAAGTTAGGCAGTGGGTCCAGAATTGGAGAGTTGGTCATTGGGATTTTGTCGGAGACATCATGCAAAGCATAAACAGGTCCTCTATACATGGCTGCAGCTGAAGTGAGGTCTGGGGGCACTGCCAGGAGATCTAAGTCAAAAAGAGAAAGGGATTGCATTTTCTTTCTCCACTCAGGCAATCTACATTAGTCAAACTGCCTCTGACATTTTCTGATTCAAAAAGCAAGGCAACTCAGCTAATATTGGAGATGTATGGTCTTGAAGGTTGTGCTGAAAATGAGGTAATTAAATAACTGTGATCCATTTTATTATTGGCTACAAATAAGGAACCAGGTTCATTCTACGTTTGGCCTTGAAGTTTACTCATTACTCATAAAATATTTACCTATTTCAACAGATTCAAAGACAATGAGTGTTTTGGTTCTTTAGTGCTGCTCTAACAGAAGATACCACAAATGGTATGGGTTTAATAATCAGGGATTTATTCTCTTACAGTTTTGGAGGCTAGAGCTCAAGTTCAAAGTGCCAGGCTCTAGGGGCTGGGTGAAAGCCTTTTGACCTTGGGCTTCAGCTCTGCCTCTTGCTCTGGCACACTGAAGCTGGAGGCTTTCTTAACTCAGGCAGCTGCTGGCTGCTGAGGCTGACATACCCAAGGTTGAAAAATAAAATGGCACAGTCCCAAGATTACCAAACAACATGGCAGTCCAGAGACAGTCTCAAGATCAGCAGGAAATATGGTAGGCTGCTGAATGAAGACTTGGCTACATGTTGGGTTCAAGGATGCCAAAAAGCTACAGACAATTGCCAAAGCTTCTCCTTATATACTGAAAGCATACCATATCCCTAAAGCAGCTACTAAGCTGCTCGTGGGGAGCTCTGGTAGCATAGTGGCTAAGACACTTGCCTGCTAACCAGACGGCTGGCGGTTTAAACCCACCAGCCACTCCTCGGAAGGAAGGTTGGGCAATCCTACTTCCATAGTGACACTGCCTCGGAAACCCAAGGAGGGGTCGCTATGGGTCAGGTTTGACTTGACGGCACATGACTACAACAACAACAACTGCTCGTGGCAGATTCCACCATGGAGCTGATTGCCACTCTCATCATGGGGAATAACTATATCCAGCTGACCAGCCACTCAAAACCAGGCCCAGCCAAGTTGACACATAACCTTAACTACCACAATGAGCTCCACTGGTAACTATTAGGTAATAATCTCCCTTCTTTATACTGGATTTGGGTTCATTTGTAAGCCACTATATTCATAGCAATACGAGATATCTTTTCAAAGGGGGGGGAGGGAGACCCAAGAAATCAGTAAATTAGCCTGTTCTTTTCAAATATAGAAGGGACAAGTCAAGATTGAAAAAACAAAACCTGTTAGGAAGAAGAAACTATGCATTTTCTTAACTCTAATTTGTTAGGTAAATGAAATAATACAATAATAACAAAATAAACACAAATCCCTGCCTTCATGGAGCTTACATTCTAATTGAACTGGATGACTGGAAATTCACTGATTTTGAAGTCACCTATGGAAGTTGCTAACTTTCCCAAGTTACAAGATATTAACTAGAATTCTACTGACCTTGCCTTGCTGCCTTGATGTTTACAGGCTGGAAGCCTCCATTGAGTGCCGAAGAGTCAATAATATCAGACTCAAAGTCACGATGATTCTTTCGATACACAAATAGGGCCACAACTGCAGAAATCGCCAGGCAAACAATCACTGCTATTACAATGCCAACATAGAGAGCGACATCGTCTGAATCAGGAGCAGCTAAAAAGAAGAAAGAAACATTGGACCAACTGGTTATAGAAATTTCCCACAGCACACATACATATTGCTATAATTTTTTCAGACATTTATTGCCTTTTTTTATAGGTTAATTTCAAATCTATTTCAAAAGCTATATAAAAAGACTGTGGCCTTTCAGTGGAAAATCATCTCTGATTTCTTTTCCTTTCTCACTCTACATCTATCCACCCACTAATCTATCTTATAATTGGGCAGCATAACAGACCATTTATTACTATGCATATAAAGAAACTAGAGCAAAAACCATCCCAACCCACAGAAGAAAAGTTTATTACTAATTTCAGGTGGAAAAGTTTGAAAAACAGTTTTGAATTCTCTGACAGTTCTTTAAAAACATAAACATAAACACTCTCTTAGAAATACCTGGCATATTCTGAATCTGTACATTTATTGAACCAGAATATTTTCCTAAGTATCATTCCAAGTCATAAAATTACTTTCCATAGCACTCTTCTGAATTCCCCTTAAATCAGTGAGGGTAGGTGGGAATGGTGTAACTAAGCAAAGCAAATATTGGAAGCAAACATGTTGGATTTGAAAGGTGTATTTTCAGGAGAACCAGATCTGGGGAACAGAGGTTAAGGCCAATAACCTTCTCTAAGTCCCTGGCTTTTGATATGGATGCAGTATTATCTGTGAGAACCCTGAACTTCCCATGGTCTCCTGTCAGAGATTTACATCTGAGCTACTCATTGCTGGAATAAAATATAGCTCTGTGGTGCATTAAGTAAGATAAAGGCCTGATTCAGTGATCAGAAAGGTCAGACTAGCCTAGAAGGTAATTAAGATTTTGATCAACAGAGTGTGCAGTAAGATGAGGCCTATTTCTGGGTAGAGTAAGAACAGAATCTCTGTGAGTGTTGCATGATGCCTTGGTGACAAAGGACATTATTTAATCCAACTGCAAAGGGTAATACCCAAACCAAACCCACTGCCATTGAGTCAATTTTGACTCATAGCAAACCATAGTGTTTCCAAGGTGTAAATAGACAGTAGTGGCTTGCCTCATCTTCTTCCTGCAGAGCAGCTGGTGGGTTTAAATCACCAACCTTCTGGTTAGCAGCCAAGTGCTTTACCCATTGTGCCACCAGAGCTCCTTGGTAAAGGTAATAGAAGCTGGTAATTAAAACAAAATAAAGACAAACAAAACTAAACCTTTTCTGATCCCCAGTGACAGCTTTAAGCCTATGTTTTTAGTTTTCTGTGACTCAAAAACAATGTTCAGTAAAATTAACTTTCACTTACTGTGAAAGAGGTGATGAAACTGGTACTTCAGATTCAACTAAAAATTTAATGGTCAATTCTGTATACATGTGCATTTTTGGGAGAGAGAATTTTCAGATTTGTGAGGTCTATGACCTGAGACTCCCAGCCACATAGTTTATATGGTGAAATAACTCATCATATAAATTGTGGATGGCTCACATGATAACCTACTCCTATGTCAGCCTAGCTTCAGTTGCAGTATAAAATAATTCCTTATTGGAAAACATTTAATTTCTTGTAGCATTTTGTGTTTAAACGTAGTGTATGTGAAAGGATTTTTTTTTTAAACAATTGTCTTCCAAGTTTCCAGAATATCTACTTCCCCATCAATTAAGTGAATATTGACAGATACATTAAAAAAAAAAAAAAAAAGTGATATCCCAAATACTCTTGGCTGTGGGTGCATTGCTGTGAAAGAATTGATTTCACCTTGGTTACTGGATTTTATTTGGGGCCCTGCCGCAGGACTCTGAACTCTGGTCAGAATATTATAGCTAAATCTTACTGGTTTACTATACCAGGCCATAATTACTTATTCAAGATTCATGAATTCTATCTCAATAGATCTGGATTTTCTCAGGCCTTCCCTTTTAGCATTTGAACCTTGCCCTTTATTTATATCAGCATATTTCATGATATGTTTTGTTAGCTACTGGGACTCAAGCTTTGAATGATAGACTTACAGTCTTTAAAGTTAACAGGGGCTTGAAATGACCCTTTCTTTTCTTCAGCAGGGAAAATCTAATTTGTTTTCATGTTAGAAGATATTAGCCTCCTATTTCCTGTGAGCACATCTGTGATCCAAAGAAAAGTAAACTTGAACTGGGGCAATAACATTAAATGATTATTCAACAACATAAAAACCAAACATCAAACTTACAAGAAAATCCATATTCATTCTGGGTTCTCTGTTCAGTTGAAATGGGATAAATGAAACCTTGAAAAGAAAAAGAAATTAAACAAAAATGGGAACAAAATCAAATTAATGAAGGAAACAAAATGGGAGGCATGAAAAATGGTTTAATTGAAAGAAAAGGAAAAGAAACCTGTGGTCCTTTACAATTCTGATTGGGTGCAGAATTATGATTTTGCATCTCCTGTCTTCTCTGGAGCCTCACTAAGAATTAATAAGTAGGCAGATTGAATTTCAGAGCAAAAACTGGTCTCGAGTCACTAACTTTGGAATGCTTAAAGTCTTTCTTTTATTGAGCATAAACTCTAATGGATCTAATTTATTTCAGACATCAAGGGTCATTAGCATATGGAAAATCTTTTTTCTTTATCCCTGCCATATGCTTTAATTCCCAGGACATATTCAAGGAAGGCTCTAAACAGTTTTTTTTTCCCCTTTCCTTTTTTATTTAATCATAACAGCTTGCTCTTGGCATAACAGAGCTAAAGAAGACCTGTCATCATTGGTCAAAGGTTAAGTACCCATTTACTGAACTGGGCTGGAACCACTACCCTATGCCCCCCTACCCCATTTAAAATACACTTTTTGGATTTTCTGTTGTTTCCTATCCCTTTCATTTAATAGGAATCCAATAAGTATTGCTCTGAGACTGAACAGTTTGTCAATGAAATGGAAACTGGATGCTTTTTATTTGAAATCATTCGAAAATCAATAGGGCCTAGAGGTTATAAGGTTATTATTTTAGGGCTTCAGAGAAATGGTGTAAACTGGAAAAAATAAAACCCTCACTTAAACTATAACTGCAGAGACAACACTAGACATTTTATTTTTCTTTCTTATTAGTGAATTCTGAGGAGCTCTGGTAGCATAGTACCTAAGGCACTTGACTCCTAACCAGAGGGCTGGTGGTTCAAACCCACCAGCCGCTCCTCAGAAGGAAGGTTGGGCAATCCACTTCGGCAGTGATACTGCCTCGGAAACCCAAGGAGGGGTTGCTATGAGTCGGGGCCCACTAGACAGCACATAACAGCAACAGCACCAACATTAGTGAATTACAAGATAGAAAACTAATAGTGATAGTAATAATAATATTAACAGTAATAGTGTGAATTTAAAGAGGGTTAGGTAGCAGTGGTGTCACTAGGGTTATGCGAGGGTGCAAATTGAACCAGGGGACACTATCAGTGGGGGTGGCACCAAAGTGACTACCTATAAAATTTTTATGAGGTGTTTCAGCAGAAATGTATTATTTTTTACAAAAATATCCCTGTAGTTAGTTGTAACTACAAAAACATTTTTTGTAAGCCCAGCTTACATGTATCAATACACCTGTTGTTGTTGTTGTTATGTGCCATGGCGTTGGACCCAATTCATAGTGACCCCTCCTTGGGTTTCTGAGGCAATATCACTACGGAAGTAGATTGCCCAACCTTCCTTCTGAGGAGTGGCTAGTGGGTTTGAACTGCCAGCCTTCTGGTTAGCAGTCAAATGCCTTAGGCACTACACCACCAGAGCCTAGAAGGGTAAAACTCTATGCTAATTCATTTTTTGAGCCTTCTAATGCACTCTGGTAGCATAGTGCCTAAGGCACTTGACTGCTAACCAGAAGGCTGGCGGTTCAAACCCACCAGCCACTCCTGGGAAAGAAGATGGGGCAATCCTACTTCCGTAGTGATACTGCCTCGGAAACCCAAGGAGGGGTCGCTATGAGTCGGGGCCGACTCGACGGCAAACAACAACAACGACAACAATGCACTCTAGTCAGAGCTGTCATTATTACCTAATTACAATGATGCTTTGAATCACATGTTTTCACCTGCACACTCTCCAAGCACATGCTGTTTTCATTCCTGCTGGTGTTTTTATAGTTGCTGATTTTGTCAAATCTTCTGGTGTTTCAGCTACAACATGTGGTAATTAGTATTGCTGACTTATATCAATAACTTTCTTGAGAATGAAGTAATAGTTAAAGGAAAAGATGGAGGAAAATCCATAAACGCTTCCGCTCTGCTACTAATAATGTTGTAATTCAGTGTAGAAAGACTTTACAAAATAATTTTGTTAATATTCATACAATATAAAAATATTATATTCATGGAATTTATAACTATATTTATCACATATTATTCTATGATTAAAATTTCTAGTAAACCTTACTAAGGATTCTATACTGTCTAGTATGGGACAAGGTCTGTGGAGTGGGGACATGCCATAAGTTGTCACACTGGTAACAGCAGCCCTAGTGATGGCACTGTTGGGGAAAAAACATTTTAAAAATGTGGAAGACATACTTTTTGAAATGAAAAATGCATATAAATTTCTGAAGTATAACTTATGACTGCCAACCACATTTTCTCAAGATTTAATATTCTGTAGCATATGAATTAATCAAATGATATAGCACAGCTTGGATTAATAAAATGAGGACGAGTAAGAAACATGTGAATTAAATCTCCCTAGCAATACTCAAGGGTAAAAATGTAGGGAAATTGCAAGAATCACAATTAATTAGTTCAAAATTAAAGGTCTGTAAAGCTCTGATACTAAAAGCAACTCTAAATCATGCCTGAGGTAGCACATCTAGAGTTTGCAGAACACTAGTTCTTACAAGCTATTTACCTATTTTGGGGAACTAATTGTGGAGAAACATGCAGTTCTACCTTAACGAAGGAGAGGTTTGCTGTAGCACAGACAGGTTTGCTCTGAATTAATTTTTAATACTTTATTTTAGAGCAATGATTGCAACCTCCTACTCAGTTTTATAAATATTATATCCCTTATT